TCTTACAATTCGAGTACATACTTTATTTTTATTTTTAAAGTTGCGTATATGCCAAATAGTTTTTAGTATTTAAAAAACATTTGTTATTTGTTAAAATTGAAATTTATTTGCAAAAAATTTCGACTTAAAGTCATTTTGTCAATTAACTACGTTAATATTTTGTATTTTTTTATGAGTATAATTTTTACTTATTTTTATGCGCGAAAAACTTTTTTAGCAATTCAAAAAAATTTAATTTAAAATGTACAATACAATAGAGATACAATACTTCGAGGCTCATAAATTCTTCATAAAATTATTTATTCTTTTTTATTTTTGCTTTAATGCTATTATTATTAATTTTCTTAGCAACTTTTGCATTGCTTTTTAAATTTTATAAACTATTTTTACTGAGCGAATTTGCTATTACAAATTATTTAAAATCGGAATTCCGCCAACTTCTTTAAGAAGTTTTCAATGTTCTTTTCAATCTGCACGATTTTCATATTTTAATTTTTTATGTTCTTATATTATATTTTTCTTCAAAGTTCATTTTTATTATTATTTTTTCAATGTTAATATTTTTTTCAATTTTAATTATATTCTTTTGTCTTTGTTTATTTTCCAATTTCAATCATTTTTTTTATTTCTTAATTTTTCCGTTTAATCTTTTTCAAATTTTTGTGTCTTATTGTATATAATTATAGTACATCGCATAAGGTATTTAGTATAAATAGTAGGAAAAGGGAATAGTATAAGTGTGTATATATATTCGTTTTGTGAATACTCGTACATATAAATTTGTTATTTCATAAATACTTGTAGTAAATACATAGTTAGATTGTTGTATATTTTTCGCATTTGATATTGATTTTTCACTACATTTTATTTCATTTTTTTTTTGTAATATGAATGTCGGTTTTTAGGTTCAGTAAATTTTAATGCATTTCATATGTGATTTTCATAAATTGGGAACACTTTGGAATCAATCGTGTGCGCTAAGGTTGCCATTACAAAGTGAGGTATGTATATAGACAGATTTTATTATGATTAAAAAGAAAAGATTTTGGTTTCTTATTTCGAATCAGATGCTTTATGTATTTTTTTTAATATTTCAAAAAAAAACACTTATAAAACTTAACATGCAATTTCCACAAACAAAGATTTTGTTAAAACAAAGTTTAAATAATGAAGAATTGCTTTTTTCTATACGTTACTGAAAAGCACTCTAAATTGTCATACTTTGTGTTCTTATTTGAGTTAATGGCTGTGTAATATGTGATTATTTCCATTCCTTTGGCCTTCTCTCCACTATCATTTTATGAAAAGCTTTTGCCATAAATAAAATGCACCATAGTATACAACATATATATATTGCAATTTATATTTCTAAAAGAGAGGGGTGCTGAATTTACATGCATTTAAAGCTTTTGAATTAGTGGTAACAAATTAATTGTAATGATGCTTATATCTATTAATAACACCAATCTATATAAAACTAGTGAGCGTTATTCTAAAACTACATACATATTTCAAAGGGGGTTTCCTTTGAATGCTCTTGCCTATTGCATGCATGAACAGCAATATTCCAAACTACATCTAATTAATACCTGTTTTCGGTTGTTTGAAGATTTTTGAAATATTTATTAATTTATTCACGCCAATAATTAAATGTAATGCTAGTTTGAGAAGCTTCCTCATCAGTCAATTTTTTGAGAGCAATGAGCGCAAAGTAGCTTTTTTTTGTATTGTTATTTGCCGTTTAGTTTTAACTTATTGAATTTGCGAAAAATAGCTTATTTGGCCATATAATCACCCAAGGCATAAACTATATAATACACACTCGTTTAGTATTCAGCGCTGTATTCAGCTTTCGGTTGATAACAAACTTCTGTAAGAAGCAAGTTAGATCATTCTCTAAATAGTTCTTAAGGTAAATTTCGTTTGTGAACAAACTCGTATATTTTTTTTATTGTTTTCTTGTAGAAACGAACTGTATTCAGCTATCGTTCTCTAGTGCTAAATAATGATATGAAATCAAAATTCCGAAAAGACCAAGTATAAATAGTTCTCTACATTATTCTTATGATGCTTCTATAATTCAGCGCTGTATTCAGCTATACAAACGCTCTGTATTTAGTACTCGTTCTCTTGCGCTGGGTAAAAATATAAAAGCCAACCAAAATTAAAGTAGTTTCTAAAAATGTGAAGAAGCTCATATACTTTTTCTGATAGAAAGAGTTTTGAAACTAAACTTTTCTTTATTTTGTTGAGACCTTTTAAAAAAGTATATACACATATTTGGGTTGAGTATTTCAAAAAATTTAGACATAAGATAAAAATAATGTAGACGCAATCTCAGAATGTCGTTTCAAATGCTAAATGTCTTCAAACGAAGTTTTTAACTTAATTTTAATTGAATTCAATAAAAACAGCACAATTCAGCTTTAAAATCGTGTTAAGTCGACGGCGTGGGGAGAGTTTATTCAAGGGTTGTATTCTTAACTCACTATAAGTTCCACTTATCAGTTTTGTGTACTCAATTTTGAGTTCTTAACTTCTAAATGGGCTTTTGTTTTTCAAAAGTTGAACATAAAGAAATTGTCTTCTCAAATTTTGTTTCTCAAAAAATATTTATTTCTCCAAACAATTATTTTTTATTACTATATTATAATTTATTTATATTTCAATTTCACATTATTTTATATTATAAGCTCTCAACTCTCATTGCCCTTACAATTTTTTGTTTTTGCTTACTTTCGTTCGTTATAGCATTTGAGTTAGTTTTCTTTTCATCACAATTTTTCATAATGGTCTTTTCCAATTAAAAAATACATACATATTCGGCATTACGTAAAACCAAACAGCTGCATTTAATTCGTATACGACTTGCATGTGTGTGTATGTACGCTGAGTGATTTTAATTTCTTATTCAATTATTTTTTTATAAATTAATGCTTTAGTTATTTCGGGTTCTCGAAACCTGTTTTTATCTACGACTACAACTAATGCAACTATTTTTTTTATATATAAATGAATAATAAAAAAGGTGTATGCTAACTTTTAATGCGCTTACTGTCATGATACCAATAATAGTTCTACTGCAATCGCTCAATAACATTTATAAAACATAAAAAAAAGCACACAGTTTTTGCCAAAAATCAATAAAAAAAAAAACAAGCTGAATAAGTCTATGCCAATTTTCTAAAATTAAATGCTTTTTAAAAGAATATTTCCGAATTGCAATAAAAACAAAATATTTTTCTGTTTTGCGCACATTTTTGCTTTTAATGCTAACATTTAGCGCTAATAAACTAGTTTTTTTCATTATTTTGCTTAGAATCTATAATGATAACATATCTTCTTTGCACTTAGTAACTAATTTTTTAACTTAAAAAATTATCAAA